TAGGTGCCATCGTTTACAAATTACTCTTTAATAATATGCCTTATTTTTCTTTTTTAGGGGAAAGGCTACAAAATCGTCGAATATTTTCTTTGCTACCATATCGGGACGTCCCTTACATACTGTATAGATTTTGAGCGAAAAGTATTTTGGTTTAAGGTAAGTCCGTCTATTGCTGTTGATTACAGTAAACTTCTAATTCCTCAACATGTTACTTTACAGTTGCCGTAACGATGATAATCTCGTACAAAAATCAAGATTTCCACCACAGATATCATCTAAGATCATTGCCGCCAAGTAAAGGATTTGATACCCGAAAGGTTGGTAGCCTGTTGATAGATCATTGTTCGCCAAATAGTCAGCAACACTCTGTTTTATTTGGTTTCATTACACGCAACGTCCGTTGAGTAAACATACTGTATAAGGTTATCCAACTCCCTATGGGAGAGAATAATCCTTGCTGTGACGCCATTGGAAGAATTGACATTTCTATGTTTTTATTTATACAGTGAATTTCACTTAAGATGCAATACTCAAAAATATATTTCCATAGAAACCAGGGCATACTTACTTACTTTCTTCCACATAAAATGCAACATGTTAATATAATTTAACATTACAGTAAAACCTTGATATAGTTCAATAAGAATATACAATAATTTAGAGCTGAACAACAAATAAAACTAGACTAACACTAGCACTAGAACTAACACTAGACCGAGAACTAGAAATATTCAGTTTAGCCGTACCTCTCTTAAGCCGGCTAAACCCGAATGTTTCTAGTTCTAAGTCTAGTTAGTGTTAGTTCTAGTTTTAATTGTTATTCAGCGTTAGATTGTGGTATATGATTATGGAACGAAAAGTAGAACTAAAATTAATTGTCCTATCGGGAAATTAATGCTCTTTTAAAAAAGTTTTATTTATTACAAAATACAAGGACTTCGGTACATCTCGAGAGTTTATCGTGGCGTCCGGCTGGTCATTCCCTCTAAATGATGCAGCTGCATTTATATAATGTTTCATTATCTACATGCTGTGTTGACAATAATTACTGGAGTAGAATGGTTAACACCTCCCTCCTTAGATGGAAGGACGCAGCCAAGGGTATTGGCGATATCCTTCTTCAGTATCTTCTGTGGGTTGCTTGGCAATCTTCCAGTTTCCTTGATACTTCTGGTGCAACTTAACAATATTATTGGTAGTCCCAGCACGATTTTATGTTGTACCCATTGAAGTTCGTCTAATTCTCTTGATCAGTTTGGCAAATTGTTTTCTGTCCGGTTTAACTTTTCCCATTGGAATTCTTGTAGTTGGATGTCTTCTTGTTTCCAATGTATGTATTTCTTCTTTTAAGTCCTGTAGTTTTATGGAATACAGCTGGAGGAATTCTCGGTTCGGAACGAATTTCGATTGGGTTCGTAAAATTTCCTGTTTCCATGATATTTCACATTCTTCGTTTAATTGGATTAGATGATTATTCTTGATTTTTCTATTTGCTTCTCGATCGTCACACTTAAGATTTAGGTATTCTTCTCCAGGACTTGTCAAGGTCCATTCACTCTAGGAAATGGATTGAATACGTTTTATATTTATGTTTAATTTGATTTAGATTTACCAAATTATTATATTTAATAATTGAAACTAGTTTGTATCATATTCACTTATATATTTTAAAACTCTAGTCACACTCACATTATTACAAGTATCTCTTAATCTATATATATCTAACTTCGGCAACTAAACCTACAACATCCCCTTCCTTAATATTTGTCTATAACTACTATTAATACATTACATAATCACGCAACCTATTAGGGATTGTTCGCCAATTCATTTTTTCACCAATCTCCCGCTCATCCCGACTAACAAGTTCTTCATTATTTGTAAATTCAGGTTAATTCATAGATTTTCTCAAAAAGCTGCTATTTCTTCTATATTCTTGATTATTTTCATCTCGTACCACATACGATCTGGGATACTTCAATCTCTTTTTAACTTGTGCTGGAATCCATTCACCTCTTTATTTTCTAATTGTTACAAAATCTCGTTCACTAAATTCACATCTATCCTTAGCATTTTTGTCGTAATATTCCTTATTTTTTTGTCTATTATCATCTAACCGTTTCTTAATTATCTCATTTTTATTTTCCTTTAGTTTTAGTTGCTTGTTAAGCATAGGAATAATCTTCTGGACATCAATATTTATGCCGCTGACAATCCTATATTTATGATTGGCGTGTTTCTATTCTAATAAACTAGTATATTGTAAATCTGTTGATTTCTTTAGCATATTTTTGGCTATATAGACCGCTTTTTCCGCTAATCCATTTCATTTAGGATAATGTGGACTGGTTGTTTGAATTTGAAAATTTCACTCCTTTGCTCGCAAATTATTGACATATTATCTGATACTATAATATTCGGTATTCCATGATATGAAAATACAGATTTAAACTTTTTCATTATACTAATTACGAGGAAATTTAGAGAATGGTCGGTTCGGTATAGTATGAGTTATTAATTTTTCTTTTACATTTTTTGGCTTATACTTTTCGCAAATTTTACATTTGGATATGTATTTTCCAATATCTTTATTAATATTAGGCCAATTATAAACTACATCTAGCTCTTTCAATAATTTCTGGTGATACCCATGTGGGTTTGATGTAGTAATCTTAACATATTATCCTTATAAATATCTGGTACTATCAATCTGTTTTCAATAAACAACAATCCATGTTCATAAGTAAGATCGTGTTTATGAGGCCAATAAGTTTTCAACGTTTTTGGTACTTTTTTGTGTACCGGCCATGAGTTGGTAACATAACTTATTAATAACTTTAAATATTTATCATTTGCAGTGGTTTCTTGAAATTCTTTTTTTTTGGTCTGATATGCATAAATGCTCAAATTTTGCTCTGGTAATTGCTCAAATTTGATTGGTGATTCTATTTATTGAAATTCTTTTTTAAATATTCCAATTAAAGGTTTATGATCATTTACTACTCTAACTTTTTTCCCTTACACATAATAATGAAACTTTTCATGTGCAAAACATACTCACAACATTTCTTTTTCTATTTGTGAAAATTTTATTTCATTCTCGTATTAACACTCCTCCTAACCAGTTCTGCAACGCCTCAAATTTTTCAAAATAGGTTCATTTGTCAAAATTTGTTTAATTTTATTTAAAACTTTTTCGATAACCATTTAAATGCAGTGTTCTTTTTTAATAGTTCCCTTAATGGTTCTATTATGTCACTATAATTTTTTACAAATCTTCTCAAATAATTCAGCATAGGAACTTAAACCTAACGGAATTTTTCTAGAAAGCTTTACTACTGGATCACAATTTGGTTTTAATGTTATTTTATATTTTTCTTTAAATTTCTCTAATCCTTTAAAATTTTCTTTATATTGTTTTAAAGTTTTACTTTTATCATTTAATGCAAATTTTCCAACTTCATTAACAGTTTTAATTATACCTAATAACTGAGAACTTTCACAACCTAATAACGAATTCGATTTTACATCAACTTCAATAAATTTTAACATTTTTCTTTTCATTTTTCAAAACTACATTTCAATTCTCCACAACCTATCGGTTTTATTTTTGAACCACAAAAAACCTCTAACGTTATATTTGTCTTTTTAATTTCATGGTTCTTAAAATATTTTTTTTGTAATTCGCTACGGTGATGGAAGCTATAACAGTACTCAAACGGGTGCTGTAATGAGACTCCTTACAGCATCCGATGCTGTAATGAGATTTTAGTAACATTTTATGGAACCAGTTCAAGTTGGTGACACTGGGTCATTAATTTTTCTAGTTGTCAATGTGACAATTTGTCTATGGATGTTTAAACACGTTCTTAGCATCGAATACAAGGTCCACAATGATGAGGGCATTGAACACCGAGCAATTTCTCTTATTTTGGGAGGTGTACATCAAACATTTTTTTCAGGTGAATATATTTTCTGTTTTGACAGTTTCTAATTGTCAATTCAAAGTTTCTATTTTCAAGTGTTACCAACTGCTACATACCTATTTCCCTACATTGCTAAAATTTACTTTATTTTTGTTAAAAAAAAGTATAAAAACGCGAATTACAAAAAATAGCATAAAAAACACGTTTCATAAGACTTAAAGCACTCATTCATTAAAAAACTCGTGGCTTCGCCACTCGTTTTTCAACTTGAATTCGTGCATTTCAAGCGTGTCTTACGAAACTTGTTTTTTAATATACTATTAAACATGTTCAATGGCAAAATATTAACTTCAGCTGCACTATTTATTTTTATCTTAATTTGAATATTATTTATATTTATATTTTCAAACCAACCTTTTAAATTTATGACATTAATATTTCTTTATACTTCTATACTACTTATCTTTAATACTTTATCCTCTTCACCGCTCTGATTTTCCTCTTCATTAACTTCTTTCACCTTTTTGACTTTACATGATTTAATAAAAACCATATATTAACTTCTAACTTGCATTTATTTATATAAAGTCGTACTAGTTTCGGGTTACCCCATCATCAGCGACAAAGTCAATGAAGCTATAATAGGTATAGATTGGAAATCATGTGAAAGTAAAGCATTTCGCTATCTGATGGATAAACAAAATTAGGATGAAAAATGAATTAAGAATGGCGTCGTTAAAAAGTGTGGAATGTTAAAAAATTAGAAATTCAAATAAATCTTTTAAATCGTAATAAAAATGTGTTGGTGGGATGAGATGAGGCGAGACTTTATTCCTTTGTCTACGACTTTATACAAATAAATGTTAATATATGGTTTTTATTTGATCATTAATCTTGCAACATGGATAACTCTTTCAATTTACATGATTTGGTACCAAAATGGGCACTTTCGAGGTCCATGTTTCTTCTGGCATATTCTACATACAAATTCTTTTTCTTCTTCTTTATTTACTTCTCTTTTCTTTACTATTTTATTAACTTTCATCAAGTGTAATTTTTCTATATGTAATTTTGTTATTTCTGCTGTCCTACACTCATATCCATTTCGCCTTTTTCTAAAGTTAAATCTTCTTTACCCCTTAACCTTTCTTGTAAATTTTTATTTGTTACTCCTAAAGCTATTCTGTCTCTGATTAACGAATCTCTTTGATCACCGAATTCACACGATACTGCCAACTTTTTTTTAACTTGGTTACGAAATTATCAAAACTCTCCATTTCCTCTTGCTTTTTATTAAAAAGTTTAAATCTTTCGTATATAACGTTCTTGTTTGGATTCATATAATCCTCAAAAGCTTTCATTACCTTTTCATACTTTTTTCTATCTTCATCACTGAGATTAAATGTGTTGTAGATGTGTACGGCTTCCTCTCCGATAATATTTAAGAGAATCGCAACCTTCACTTCATCTTCTTTCTTATATTTTCCTGTTGCTAACATATCTATTTCCAAATTTTGTTTGAATTTCTTAAAATTTTTGCTTAAATTTCCTTCTCAAATTTTATGTTTAATTTGATTTAGATTTACCAAATTATTATATTTAATAATTGAAACTAGTTTGTATCTTATTCTCTTATATATTTTAAAATTCTAGTCACACTCACATTATTACAAGTATCTCTTAATCTATATATCTAGATATATATCTATATCTAACTTAGGCAACTAAACCTACAACAGAATAGACGGTTTTTCTGTCCGTTGTATATTGTATGTACAAGAATTTTCTTGATATTCGCATTAATAGTCTTACTATTTCATTTGCACAAAAATCTCTTTTCTTTTATTTTCTTACAACGCTTGTTTAAAGAAATGTATCGTACATTATTTTCAGCTAGGTAAAGGCTTGATATTTTTAATAGTTTAGATGGGATTTGGATTCATTATTAAATTGTGGAATAGGAATTATGTGATAAAACTGATAAATATCTGGTTCGCAAAGTGGTATTTGTATAAGGAAATTGAATTTGTTTTCTTTCATATTTGATGGTCAATGTTTTTTCAATAGCATAAATGTTGTGTTCATTAACAGGTAATGGTAATTTACTGTTGAATTTTAATTCTTGAACTTCTTTCAATTCTTGTATATGTAATATTTGGTATTATATATAATAAAAATACACACCTTAAATAGTTATATTTATTAAAACCTTGGTTGACTTCTAACACACGCCATACTTATTATTCTATTATTTCTTTATGTTGGCAACCAACATTACATCTCCCTTTTTTTCTTTTTTACAAAATAAAGTCTTTATACTTATTGGGTATCTTAATACTACGTCCACTTCGAGTACAAGTTTGATTATTAAAACTAACATTATGAGTATTATCAGATACATTATCATTAAAAAATGGAACATTGATAGCAACATCAGTATTATTACTACAAATATTAAAATCTCTGGTCTTATCTTGTACATTAGTTTGCTTACTTTGATCTGCTGGGTTAAAACCAATATCATCATTATTGTTATTATTTGACTTTAGAACAAATTGATTGGTCGTTGGCTTCAAATGAAACGAGTTTCTTCTCAATGTTTCACCCTTTTGATCCATAATTAGGTATGACCTTGGTGTTTCTGCTTGCTTTAAAATCTTACAGGGTTCCCATGTTTTTCCCTTTGAGACTAGTGCATTCTCTCCTTTCTGGAAATCTCTACGATTTTTAACATGTCTGTCATAATAGTGTTTATATCTTTTTTGGTTATTGATGATTTGAAAATGTACATCCGTTTTTATTTCCGGCTTCAATAATCTTGTATGAATTGGCACTTTTGTTCTTACCCTTCTATTGAATAATATCTGACATGGAGAAATACCTAAACCTGTAATTGGACTACTTCTGAATTCCAACAGTGCTAGTTCCACATCAGTATTATCTTCAGAACATTTCTTAAGAATTCTCTTTGCAGTCTGGACTGCTCGCTCAGCTTGTCCATTGCTTCTTGGATATCTAGGAGAACTCGTTACAAATTCAAAATTCCAGTTTTTTGCGAACTTTTTCATCTCAAACGAACTAAATGGCATGTTATCACTGATAACTTGTTTCGGAATTCCATGAACAGAGGAATTATATCCGGTATGTCATGTACAATTAAAGGTTCTTTTACATTCGAATTTCGATACCTTTCACAGATCGTGCATCTTGAGATCAAACTCTCAATATCAGTCATTAAACCTGGCCAATAGACAGCCTCTCTTGCTCTTGCTTCGGTTTTCTGTATGCCAAAATGTGATTCATGTAAAAGTTTTAAAATATAATCTCTCATTGAACAAGGGACAATCAATCTATAATTCAAAAATATAAGACCTTCCTCACACGTAATATCATTCTGTAAGTTAAAATAATGTTTTACATTATCTGGCACCTTCTCTTTAGTTTTAGGCCAACCATTTGTATTGTAATCTTTAATTATTCTTAATATATCATCATTACTTGTTGCTATTTGAAATTCACGTTTCTTTAAGTCTGTTATGTTTAAATTTGTACTAATTGAATGAACACCCTCTGTGATCCAATTATCACTACAGTCTTGATTTTCTTTTAAATATGATCTCGATAATAAATCAGCAATATACGTATATCTACCTGGGGTAAATATTACATTTAAATCATACTTAAGTAGTTTCATTTTCATTCTCTTCAATCTAGATGATGTTATATCAGATACTTTCTTTGTTAATAAATTTATCAATGGTTTATGGTCTGTGATAACTATTACAGTTTTACCATAAATGTAATTATGAAACCTTGTTGCTGCAAATATTATGCTCAGCAGTTCCTTTTCAATTTGAGCAAGATTTCTCTCAGAGTTAGTTAAACTTCTAGATGCAAATGACACTGGCCTACCTTCTTGCATCAAACAGCAACCCAAACCACTCTGTGAGGCATCTGCCTGAATTGTAATATCTTTATTAAAGTTAAAATTTGTCAATACTGGAGCCTCTGTTATTTTGCTCTTTATTTTATCTAATGGTTTTGTATGTGAGTCTAACCAAACAATATGAACTTTATCTTTTAAAAGTTCTCTTAAATCATTTGTAAGCTCTGATAACTTTGGAATGAATGGCCTCAAAAAATTCACCATTCCTAAAATACTCTGCAGTTCTTTCTTATTTGCAGGAATTTTTAAATTTTGTATTGATTTTATTCTATCCTCATCAATTTTCATCCCATCCTTTGAAAAAAATACATGACCTAAGTATTTTACTTGTTCTTGTCTAAACTGAATCTTATTTTTGTTAAACTTAACACCTTTTTCCCTAGTTCTATTTATGACTTTCTTAACAATTTCGTCATGTTCTTCATGTGTACTACCAGCAATCAGAATATCATCAAAGTATACTAAGACACCTTGGATATCACCAAAATTCTTTTCGTTTAATCCTTGGAAATATTCAGGAGCCATATTTAAACCAAATGGTAACCTTTTGAATCTATAGCAAACAAATTGTGTGCTAAATGTACACAACTCACTTGAATCTCTATCCAATTTGATTTGCCAAAATCCATCTTTGAGATCAAACACACTAAACACTGATTTGCCAGATAATTTTGATTTCATATCTTCAATTGTCGGTATTAACACGTTAGAAATTCTTTTTATAGCTAAATTTAAATATTTCGGGTCAAGACACAACCTTAAAGATTTATTCGGTATCTCTATTATTACCAAATTATTAACCCAACCCGTCGGTTTTTCAACTTTTGAAATTATTTCTCTTTTTTCCAGATCAATTAATGTCTGTTTTAACCTGTCTTTTATAGCTAGTGGAACACGTCTAGGTACATTTACTACTGGCTTAGCATCATTACGAATTTCAATTTTACAGAGATCATGAAAAGTCCCCAAACCTTCAAAAACATCCTTGTTTTGCTTTACAAAAGCTTCACTACTAACATTTAACAAATCTATTCTTTTGATTAAATTTAGATCAATACAAGCACTTAAACCCAAAATCGGTGTTACATTTTCTTTAACAACCAAGAATTCAACAAGTAATCGTAATTTATTTATTGTTTTACAATTAAACTTAACACTACCCATTGGATTAATTCTAAATCCCCCAAAACTTTCTAACTTTACATTTGTTGTGCTAATAGGTTTACCTTTATTTAACACTTTGTAAATACTATAACATTTTTGAACATTTTTTCCCAAATGCTGGACATGCCCTCGCAGCATGGATCTTATTGCATCCACGACATTTAAATTTCTCATTCTTTTCACTTGTTTTCTTTTCATGCTTGAATATTTTCTTTTTTTCAATTGGTTCAACTACTTTTCCATGTAAATCTTTCACTCTAGATTTTGTAATTTCTGCAGCTTTACATGTATCAATAGTTTTTTGTAGCGTTAGATCTTCCATTCGTAGTAATCCTTCTTGTAAATTAACATCACGAATTCCTAACACAATCCTATCCCTCAACATTTGCTCATTTAAAGTATCATATTCACAAGTTGTAGATAATTTTCTGATATCAGTAAGAAAACTCTCAAATTCCTGACCTTCTTCTTAGTTTCTTTTATTAAAGAGATATCTTTCAAATACAACATTCTTTTTAGGTGTACAGTACCTTTCAAAACTTTCCATTACCTTCTTATAATCAATTTTCTCATCTTCTTTGAGGTTAAATCCGTTAAAAATTTCTACAGCTTCTTCACCAACCAAGTTTAATAGTATAGCAGCTTTAACATTGCTCTGCAAATTATTCTTTTCTGTTGCACTCATAAATATCTCAAAATTTTGTTTGAACCTTCTCCAGTTCTCGCTCACGTTTCCCGACAATGACAAACTTTTAGGTTGTCTAAATCCCTCCATTTTTTTTTTCCTCGTGTATATTTACGATTCTAATATATTTCTTATTTATTTCTTGTTTTCTCGCAGCGTCATGTAATATTTGGTATTATATAGGTATAATAAAAATACACACCTTAAATAGTTATATTTATTAAAACCTTGGTTGACTTCTAACACACGCCATACATATTAATCTTATTATTCTATTATTTCTTTATGTTGGCAACCAAAATTACAGTATAAGTACATAAGTGTCTAGTATCGTTGGATGGTACGTTTCTAATTTTGCAAATGTTTTTGCTGTAATAAGTTTTTCTAGTAGTAGGTAAGTTGAGTTTGATGATATCGCTAATAATTTGAAAGAGAATAAAATGTAATCTGGCTCGTTTCTCTAAAGACATTGTTACGATTGTGATGTTCTTCATAATTTCCATTTGCGCTATTCTTGTTCTGATTATTATTTGATATTTGTTCTCTTTGTATCCTTACTATTTTCTGTTGATTCTTTTCTAGTATATTAAGTGAATTGTCATATCTAATTGCATCTTCTTGATCAAGATTTCCTGTGATTGCTTTTATTAATCCTTCCAATACATTGAAAGGTCTCCGTTTTACTTTACTTGTTATTAATTGCCTGATATTATCATTCATAATTTCTTGATTTGTTTTGATAGTTGCTAGCGAACTGGTGAGTTCTTGAACGTAAAATTGTTTTTGAAATGATGTATTTAAAAGTTTCTAGTGTTAGTGCTAGTTTTAGTTCTAATTTTAGTTTAATATCTTCATTCTATAATAAAGGTTTAAAGGATTTTTGAATTTAGTATGTAAGAATAGAATTTCGTTAGGTGTCATTCCCGTTGCTGACGAAATATAATTATTATAAGCCATAATCGCTAATTTCATCTGCATTTCCCGTTGAATTTCTCCCTTTTCTTCTAAAATGAAACTTAAACTTCTAAATAATATTTCAAAGGGTCCATCCGGAGTATTCGCTTTCGGCAAAGGTGGGACTTCTGGATGTCGATTATATGTACATGTCTTACAGATATTACAATTATCTATTATTCTGTCGATAGTTCTTTTCATCTTGTTCCACCAATAATGTCTTCTCTAATGTTCAAATGTTTCTTCTTTTCCACGATGATTTTGTGGTCCTTCGTGATAATTGATAACAATTAAAATCTGCTTTTCTAGCTCATCAATCAATCACTTTAACTCTTCGTAGTGCTCGTATGATCTTTGGGCCATTACTGGTCCAAAGACTATTTTATATCTGACTTTGGTGTTAATATTTTTTTCTAATTTAAATACAAATTACCATTTTTTATTGTCAAGTATAGTATCTTTAATTAAAATTGTCTTGTTTGGTTCTAAAGTTCCGGTTGAATGAATAGTATCAGATTCTGATGAATTTTCTTCCTCTGGAACATCCGTTATTCGGATTTGTTTACTTCCTATTCCTTTTCCTAATACTCTGCTTGATGATGCTGTTGGTGGTTCTTCTTCCATTTCTATACCTAAATCTCTAATGATTTGTTCTAAGTTATCATCATCCATGCTCACTTGTTCAACTCAGTTTGTTGTTTTGGGCGTTAAAATATTTAATTCTTCAATTTTAATCCTTGCAGCATTATTATTAGTTTTACCTTTTTTTGTATAATATTTCAAAATTATACTATTCCAATTTTATTTTCCATCTGATTAGTCGGCTACTTGGTTCTTTCGAACTCCACAGCCATACGAATGGTTTATGATCAGTGTATATTGTAAATTTCCGGTCATATACGTAAGGTCGAAAATGTCTAACGGCGTAGACTATTACCAACAATTCCTTTTCTATAGTGGAGTATCGTTGTTCGGTTGGTGATAGGGTTCTCCTAAAGTAACATATTGGCCTGTCTGATCCAATAGGTCCTTGCGATAAAACAGCTCCCACTGCTACGTCGGAGGCGTCGCGTCGGTGGTTATTACAAATTCCTTCTTAATATCCGAGTATTGGAAAATAAGCTCATTCGTTAATATTTCTTTACATTTTTCAAAAGCAGATTCGAATTCCTCAGACAAACGCTTAGTCAGAGGTTTGGTTAACTCAGCAAAGTCCTTGATAAACTTCCTGTAATATTCCAACAATCCGAGGAATACTTTTATCTCCGTCTTTAGTTATTAAGTGTCCCAAGTATTTCAGCTCACGTTTTAAGAAATCTCACGTCTCTAATTTAATCTTGAAATTTGCTTCTTCTAAGCGTTTAATAAATACCGTTGTTAATTTCTGCTTATGCTCTTCCAACGATGTTGAGTATACAATTTTAATAAGAGTGCTTTGAGGGATTTTCGTCATTATTATTTTCTTTATAATGGTGTTTATTTGTTCTTCCATTTTTGTTTTTCTTTCTTCGGTTGCTTTTTCTCTAATATTCCATTGCTCTTCTAACTCAAACACTGGTCTCACATTTGTTTTCATTAAATTTTCATTTGTTTGTATCAGGTATCAAGTATGAAAGATAACGTAATTAAATTCGGTCCCATTTGACACGTTTCAGGTGGTACATTGGTGAGTCCATTGATCATATTATTCGTTTGATACTCAATTACTTGTGAGGTTCTTGGTAATACTCTACTGTAGGTGTTTTGAAAATTTCTTTTTTAGTATCCAATTTTCCTTTTACTCATGTCGTATACGTTGGAAAAATCGAAACAAGAAAATACATGATCATTTTCTTCTTTTAATATGTTCGGCATTGGTGCTTTAATAGACTTGATAGTAGTTTCGTAACTATGGTTACTACATTCATATATTGCGAGTTATATGAAATTCTCGGTATACATAATAATAATATGCCCGTTGCAGGATCTTTTAAAAACCATATCAAAATGACATTTTTGCCGACTTTTCCTTTAAACTATGTCAAATAATAGTCAAAGCCAGTAGGTAGGTAATAGTATCCAAAGATATTGAATACACCATACTGCGTGTTCATAAAAGTTTGTAAATTTTAATGTTTTATGGATCTATATCTCATTTATAAATTAGTACTTTAATTAGTACTGATTTAACTTTAATTGTATAATATCGTTTATTGTTACTTTCTGTATACAATTAAAACGTACTAGCTATAATATAAAATGCACCACTTCATGATGCATTCACACTCAGGACCCACTTCCAATATCTCTCCAAGATCTCCTTTACCCCCTTGTATTCCTTCCACTCCATAGATTAACACACTCCTCACCAGTCCATAATAACATTATTTTCCGACTGCACAAATCCTTCCCAAATATTCGTTCTCCCCGCTTAATATCTGTCCCAATAATCTACTTGCGTTTCTAACTCTCTCACGCTATTATCCGCTCGAAAAGCAAATTGTCCAGGTACGTAAATTGTCTTACCTCCTTGTGGGGGTGTTCTCACATATTAAAAAAAATAACAGTATTAAAAAAAAATTATTTTTGTATTGGAAAATAAAAAAATGACTTATTTCTGTTGAAGTCTAATGATTAACTATTATTATTAAAATAAACAAATTTTTACATAGTTATTCCTAAATCAATTAAACAAATTTTGCACTTAAAGGTGAAATGTGTTTATTATCACTCTACCGGTTTCGTTCCTTTCGGAGCATCTTCAGGAGTTCCTAAAGTTATTAATTTTACAACACTTTCTATTATTATATAATTTCACATTTTAACTTACGTCAATTTTTTGAACAACTAAACATGTATGTGATACTTTATTGAATTAATTCACTATTAAAATGTTAATCTCTAAACATGTGCTATCATACATTACTTTTTATTATATCTTAGCTTATGTTGAAACTGTCAATGGTACATTTTCTATTTTAATGTTGGTAATCTGTCAAATGTGATTGTCGTGTATTGAATTTAAACTTTCTTGTTTTGAATAGGTTGATTTTCAACAGGTTAAAATGAGGTATTACAACATAAACATATTAACTCCCTACATCAAACACACTGAAAAATATAATGGTACAGAGAGAGCAGCTATTTTTAGAGTTCGGGAGGTTTTCGTGGAGNTGTGCTACGCCCGTACATCCTTGCCAAGTCAATTACTCGCACACCTTGCTCATGATTTTCTATGATTTCACGCTTTAATTCAATAGACATCATCTTTGTCTTCGGACTCATGGTTATAAAAATAAATGTTATAATGTTTTGTAAATGTACAAAAAGCAAAAAACGCGTACCCAACTTATCAAAAATGCTTCGAAAACGAGGGAAACAAGCACACAGACTATAGTCTAGTCTGAGGTGGGAGAAACTGTGTGCCGCGCATGTTTGGGTCGTGTGCAGCGGTGTGGTGTGTGATTCCTCGTATCTCAAATCTTGCTCTCATCTCAAAGCAAAATATCGCTTGCTCGGCGGCTCGTATCTCAAAACATCGAGGTGTTATGATAATTTGATTCCTTGTCCAATATTATTGTGTTTTCAAAATCAAAAATATGGTTATGATCAACAGCGTGTTTTGAGAGAGCACATGATGTTTTTTTTAATTTAGTGTCACTTTTGTGTTTATTAACTCTACTTTTTAACCATTGTTTAGTTTGTCCAATGTATTTACCATTGCCATCTTTACAAGTAATGCAATATATAAGTTCCAACTCTAAGAATTTTTCTGTTTTATCTTTTAAAGTTGAGAAATATTTATTTAATTTTTTTGGGTATATATTAATGAATGTCAAATTATCTCGTTTTAAATGTATTCGAAGTAATTCTGTCCGGGGATATAGGGAAGATTTTTTATATTGTTTTAATTGTGTCAATGTATTACTTACGTATTTACTGATGTTTTGTTGTAAAATAGTAATTTATTAAGGAGTTTTCTTGGATAACCTTGGATAATAATATTATTTTCAAACATATTGCGTAAGATTTTTAGATTTTTATCTTTAAACTGTGGTTCGACTATAGTACATATTCTATGTTTTAAAGTAAGCACCGTAGCAATTTTATGTTTGAATGTGTGGTTCGAATGAAAATTTACATATCTACCAGAATAT